GAGGTTCACCCCGTGCCCAGTCTGTCCCCTCGGTGGCATCAATGTACGTCACGAGATCGAGACTCTAAAGTTCTGTAAAATGTTTTGCCAGGTTCAGTGTTGTGTTGTCATTGAAACAAAATGTTTTCTGAAGAGGTAGAGACTTCTTTGAGCGTGGGAATAAGTGAGGGGCTCGGACGGACCGGGCTAGTTCCTGGCCTCGTCCTTCCAACTGAGTGATGTTGGACGGGGGGCTTGCCTGATGCTTCTGCGCTTTGGCCTCTGACGGCAAAGCTGGAACCCGGGACAGGTGACTCATGGCAGCGAGTGCCTGGGGCTTTGCCCTGGAGATGCTCCCGAAGACGCGCTGCGATACCATGCAGGTGTCCTTCCTCCCCCGCGTTGATTCTGTGCCCGCCTGTCCTTGTCCTGGGCGGGTGGGGCCGCCTGTCCTGCGTGGCGGTGCGGTGGGGGCCCCGGGATCTGGCCTTAAATGGTGGGAGAGGCCAGCGGGGCCGGCGCCAGAGCTGCGGACCCAGGGGGTGAGGCCGCGCGGTCCAGAGGACATCCATCTAGCAATGTCAGGGTTGCTTTGACATGGATGTGGATTTTTTGAGAGTGGGAGGCGACATCGGCTCAGTACATTTGACACTCTGGGAGATGAGGTGTAGAATGACAAGGATTTTGCTTGCTTTTGCTAATTTTCAAAGCCAAGGTTCTTGCACATATCGTTTTGTGTCCAGAAGAGCTGTTCTGACTGGGGCTGGGCTGCTCCCTTAAGGATATTAACTGCCTTTCGCAAGGCTGGGCCCCCGGACAGGGCTTCTGGGTGGTGGCTCTCATGGACCATCTGCTTCTCCCCCGACCCCCCCCCCCCACTTTGTGGGCCCCACCTCCCTGGGGCCCCTCAGATAAGAGGGAGGACAGCCTTGTGACTTTTGGAAGGCTTGACCCTGACATGGGGAGTTAGTGTTTCAAGAACACGCCTGTGGCTCTCCTGCCTACCCCGCTGCAGGAGCTGCCTGGAGAGCAGATAGATTTAAACCATACGTGTGTGCTTTTGAGCACAGATTACATTTCCACACAGCTTGCAAATATTTTCTTCCAGAGGTTTGTTTCTTGCCAAAAATTTAAATTTTAATGTTACAGCTTAGTTTTCATTTTGATCTAACATGTCGGTCTCATTTCTTGCTGTTTTTCCCTTGTCTTTCCTTGCGCACGCCCCAGCGGCTTGGTCTAGGTCAGGGTACAGGCTTTTCTGTGACTCTCAGCTGAGGGGCCTCGCCTGGCTGTGGCGTGAGTTGCACTGCAGGCTGTGTTCTGCTCACTTCAGGTAGAGCACTTCTAGCACACAAGTTCTTGGACAAAAGTTTATTATTCCTTAAAGATATCATTAAATTTTATTTCGTGTATATAATGCTTTTTTTATTGTTTCTGAGACCATTTTCCGAATCTCTGACACGATCGTGCTGCCTTTGAATGTTCACATACGTGGAGAGATCGGTTTCGGCCTGGGCCCTTTGATCTGGCAAGGAGTCTGGGATCATCTGGTTCCAAACACGTAATTTTCTTAAACAGTGCTATCAGATATTTACATGACTTCCAAGCTTATTACGAAACAGTCTTTAAAAGTATTTATTACCAGCAGAAGCAGATCTAGATAATAATTTGATCTAACTAGGGTGCATACCAGACTACACAACCGTTTCTGGAAAATGTTTCCTGACTTTTCAGATAAATTATTGCAGCTAGAGGATTATTCCTGATAGAAGGTGCTAGGCATGTTTTTTTTTGTTTTAAAGCTGACATAAGTCCATTGGACGCAGGATGCTTCAGGCATTGATGGTCTGCAGATGCCCGGGTAGCTAGTGGGGAACATGCCGTGGCCCTCCCCTCCTCTGTAAGTGATCGAGGACTGCGCCCACGTGCTGCAGGTTGGGTGCGTGAGTGGCATTGAAGGCGCCGGCCTGGAGGGGCCACCCTGTGCCAAGTGGCTCAGTCAACCCCCTGAAAAAAGCCGGCACTCAAGTACTTACCTAGGACCCTCCCTTCCTGCTCCCAAAACCACTTACCTTTTGGGTAAATCTTGACAAAGCAAATATGAAATGCACACAGAGAAGAGACGTGTAATCGAATGGAGCAACCGTTTTTCTTTCTAGGGTCCCTGGTTTCCAGAGAAGCAGGACAATGTCCCCCATTTCTCTCTTCTTCTCTTTTCTGCACCCCAAACACCCACTCTTTACAGCTCGCTTACTTAAATACCATCTCTACAAACACCCCAGTGGGTTTCTGTTGTGAAAGAATCGCATAGCATTTTAGGTGCTGTGCGGATTTCCTTAGAGTTTATTCCTACCGGTCACCTCGTTCTGAAATGACGCCCTTCTGCCCTCTCTTGCATACTCCGGCTGTGAAGCAGCTCCGCGAGGCTGGCGGAGGGGCACGCTGGCTGTCCAGTGTCCGGGGAGAACTTAGTCCTGGCTTCCGAACGAGAGGCTAGCCGTCTCCGAAATTAACCGTGACTAATAGACAAGTTTTACTGATGCTCTGCAAATAAAAACACTGACAACTTTAAGGAAAGATCCACGGGGTCTTCTCTTTGAGGGGCCTTCCTTCGCTTCAGGTACAAAGTCAAAACTGCTTTCTTTAAAAAAACAAAACAAAACAGCAAAACTGCTTCCTTTAATCTGCAGGCCCTGGCGCGGCCGGGCGGCCCATCTCCTTGGCCTCACCACCTGCCATCCTCACCCGCCTGCTCTAGCCACAGGCCTCCTTCTCTTCCATCGGCCTCGCGGCCTTGCCACGGCCAGTCCCTCTGCGGAATCCTCGTCCCACCACATCTCAGTCTGCTGCTCCTTTTTGTTACTGGCCTCAGGCCAATGCCCTCCGAAGGAGGTCCCGTCTGCACGGCTCCTGGGCCGGTTCTGCCTGGGGAGGCGACTTTGTTTCGGTCCCAGCAGCACGGATACTCTGGGATGCTCGGTAGAATGTCCTGTGTATTTGTCTTCTTGTTTGTTTTCTGTTCTCAACTGGAATAGACCCCAGGAGGGCAAGGGCTTTTGGGTCTGATTTGATCACTGCTGTACTCAGTACTCTGCTGTACTCAGTACCTGTGCTGTACTCAGTACCCCTGCAGTCCTAAGGAACATTTGGTGCGGCAAACGAAAGAGGTTAATGAAGGTCTAAGAACAGGCTTTGTTGATGACTTTCTGCTGCCTGGTAACGGCTATTTTCTCCTGCGGCCAGCCCTCCGACGGTGGGAGATAGCCAGCTCTGTTCCTGGTGCGGAAGGGGGTTCAGTGGCACCTGCTTTCCAGCCGCCGTCACCCCGGGGCAGGTCCTTGACAAGCACACCAGCCTGTTTTTCAGGGTTCTACAGTGCAGGGGCAGCTGAACTGGGGGAGGAAGAGGCAGCCCGCCACCCTGCCTGACCGCTCCTGTGTGCTTCCCC